ACAGCTTCATCAAAGGCTTTAGTCGATTCCACCTTTCATCAGAAATTTGAAAGAACTAGAAGTGTGCCCAAGTCTTGAGGATACAATTAATCCACTTATCGGAAATATTAGACGTTTCTACTGGCCATCGATAGCTCACTATAATCGACTATGGTATGGTTATATCAAATAGGGAAACATGCATTGATTAAGTTATTTCTACCTTCTCTTTACATTGTAGTTAACAGATAGAAAGATAGATAGATAGAGAGAGGGAGAGAGAGAGAGAGAGTATCCGTACATTACCCTTCAATCTTCCTTTATACGATCCGATTATGGCTTGTGGTTATGAATCTAGACGCTGTTCATATAATACATGATACAAGCTCGTATTCAATATACAAATATATATAATACGAGACACATGTAAGATAAATGGTAAATCCATGATTTTTGAGCTTTTTACTTCGATGAACTAGAAAACGGCTTATTATTTATTTTCCTTTCACAAATTCCATTCGCGACAATATTCTATGTGTAGATGCTTATACCTTTTTTTCTTGCATTAAGTAAATATATACGAGTGAATGAATAACGTCATTACCAACATCTCGGGTCCCTTCCCTGTATATACTGAGTAGGAAAAGTTTGTTCATCATGAAATATTTAGAAGGCCACCAAAGAGGTGAATCCTCAATATTTGATTTTTTTTGTAAGATGGAACTAATTATATTTCTGAGCGAGTTACCGCAATAATGATATGATTGAAACGGCAAGAGCCGTATAAAAAATAGCTTAAAAGAAAGGTAATAAGCTAGGCCTGCCTAATTGCGGCTTTGACCTAAACACAAACAAAGACGAAGACGCCTGAAATACCTATCATTAAACTTAATTAGGGACTAAATTAAATTAATTTTTCGTCGCCAGTTCAGATTTGGGCAATATTTTCAGCACGGCTTCTGCTTGAGTCATTCTTTTTCTCTTAAACACTTTGTTACTGCACCAATGCAGTTGGTCGTGAGATACAAAGGTGAGCTGATTTTAATGGCCTGCTTCCTATAGCTTTTCTATATAATAACAACGAATTTCGCCATTGTCTTTTTTTTCTGTTAGGTGCAAATTATCGTTTATACAAAGAACTATCACATAATATCGTCCGCTATATAGCACCTCCGTGGCCGCTGGATATTGAGAATGAACGAGGTAAAGTCCGTAGCCGGACCGTGTGCTCTATATGAGCGGTATGATGAGTCGGGAGGGGTTATGCCCTAGAGCCACGAAAAGCTGCCTCAGCGGTAACATCCAAAGCGGATAATATGCTTCGTCGCCAGTTCTCAGGCACCTCATGGGATACTCAACCGCGCTTTCAGCAAAGGTCACCTCGAACGAATTCACTTAGAGCATTGTTAGAGGGTCATCCATGTCACATTGGATAGGCAGTGATTAATATTAGTGTATGACCTAGTCAGTTTTATTTAAGCATTCGTTTATACGAATAGATTGAAAAAAAGGATTAAAAAAAATGATCGCAGCGCTATAACAACTATGTCAAACCCCACAATGGCCATACGTGTGAAGCCTTTTCCATTAAGTGTGCCCGTCTTTCGTTTTTACATAGTTAACTTTCGTAAGCGTTCTTGCAGCGAAGGAGGTGACTAGCTGCGCAGTTCTCTCTTACATAATTGACTACGAGACGTAATAAAACAGAAAAGTGACAGTTATTTAATACTTTCACTATACACTGTACAAATAGCTGACGGATCTATGGTTTTATAGATGTGTTTATTACGCGTTTTTATCGATGGGTCGTAGTCACTATTGTTACTTCGTCATTTAATCATGACGAGCAACTTTTTATCATATTGTAAGGCACAGTGAGTGATACGTCTGAAAAGCAACACGAACAACGAGTACGGTACAGCATCTGTGGCTAAGCACTTATCGCTATCGCATTTGTGATTCTATGCAAACAGAAGCTTCCCTCTGGGCTATACTTCAAAGTTCTTTTACTGGCTGAACGGCCTACGCAGGTGTAATGAACGAGCGTACTACCCTATCAAAAGATACGAATCGAGAGACACTTACTACGTTTTTAATATAATAGCTCGAAGATAGACACGCACGCACCCCTGTTGTGGAGTGAGTATATGGTCAGACATTTATTGGACGTTTTCAGTAGGAGGAGTGTCCTGTACTTCGGGTATTAAGAGGTTTTTCTTTACAAAAAAAAAAAAAATTGACTATGAATATCAGCCGAAACCATTCCGAGCTCTAAAAAATTCTAAATCTCGACCTCGGAAGGTTAATGGTATCGATCCCTAAATCGAGCGTGAGGACGTCTCGTATTAAAGAGTTACGAGCTCAACTTCTGGCAACTCACCGTCATTAAAGTCGTCTTTATTTAATTCTAACTCGATTCACGCTGTCTATCCGAAATAGAGTTTGCTCGGTTATTTTTGGTAATAGGCCGTTACGAGATGATAAAGCACAACTTAGCTCTAAAAAGGTTACAATAATAATAATGGGGACTATTAACAAAAGCATTCCATAATAACCTGAAGTACTTCTAAACGGAACTCTAATAGCTCGAAATATAAAAAAAAGAGCAGTGCTACGTCACGCCGAAGTCCTGCATCACTATTCACAACGTACTGTCTTTAACGATACCCCTAAGAAAGAACGTGCTTCATCTTACTTGCTCAAGCAAATGGTGTTTTCAGAGCGAGCGAATCGCTCCTTACTCAATAGCTGTTCTTTACTACATCAAGTAGACTTTAAACACCGCGAACTCGTAAAGGAATATCAGACTTTGTTCACGATTCCCCACCGATGAACGCACTTTCTGGAGATATGAGATCGATCACAGATCTACGCATAAAATTATATTAAGCTGCCGTCCACTGAAGCAAACTATATTATTACACGACGTGCGTGTCGTGGCTGTCACACGTTTTGAACGGCGGGTTATTTTTTACGTTTGTTTTGACTACGCTCGAAAAGTGAGGACCCAACGAAACCGGATCAGCTGTACCATAGCGTTTAATGCAGCGGATAATGAGACGACCTCATTCAACCACTCTGACCAGACTAGGTCATGCGTTTGAGTACGCTGCTAGCATCAACATCTCTTGAGTGAAATTAGGTACCATTGGACTTTTCGTAGGTATTCCTCGAGACGCTCAGAAAATGAAGCTATGATTTCTACTGCAGGTTCGCGGCAGAAAAGCACCTCGACCAGAAAGGTCGGCTTGCGTTAGGTTTTGTAGTGATCGAAGGGAACGAAAGGACAACAAAGATGACATCCTGTTAATAAACTAGTCGGTACGTGGGTGGCATAGTCAACTCGATTCGTCCGCTCCAATCGCATCCGTAGCGCTCATAACAAACGACAGGTGACGCCTTCGCATGTTTTACTTTTACTTCCCTTTTATATATAACAATTTTGATAAACAATCGATATGTTTGATCGATTGTCTGCTAGCACTCCAAACCATCAATGTATTCCGTCCTAATTATGATTGCTGACCATAACCAGTGTTTCCGTCGACCAGAGAAAATCGACTATGGAATAGTAATTTCTACCTGTCGATGTCACGTATTTGTATGATTTGTTGATGACTTTTTGGAGTATTTCTACTATAAGTAATAACTAAGTTAAAAAAAAAAATATTATTTGGCTTCAAAAATAGCCATTTGGAAAACGAAATGTGTTACTCTATCAAAACATCATAATGAAACGGAACTTGCAATTTCGACGGAACAGAAGTGCAGTAGTTGGACCTAGTTTTCCAAAGTCAGGAGCACGTCGCCACCCAGATTGAGACGTGTTTGAAGAAAAGCAGTTCCAGCGAGTAAGGTTTGTACCGGCCTGCTAAAGCTGAGAAAGTCTAAAGCTGTCTCATCCATATAGTTACGATTTAAACCTACGGTGATTGTAGCAGGAAACATATGTGATATTTGAAAAATTCAAGATGTCGTTAAGCCAAACTTGTGTTCGTCACATACACGTAGCTTAAAACATCGGCCAAAAAATCTGCGTTGATTGGAGCCTCTTAAACCTACCACGACGACACAACACTCGCAATGAAAATGCATACTACTAGGCTATCTATATCATCGAAGTCAAGTTAGCTTTTTTCGAAGTAATAGGCGGGTAGACCCATTGACTGGGCCTGTGGATCCTATGCCAAATTAGGGTCACGCATGACTGGCGTACGTGGAAAGCAGCGGCATGAAAGAATTGGCTGCGGGAGCGAAGGGTCAACCTAGCATTAAAACCTGCTAATTCCGACGTAACGAGCTCAGTTTTAGCGATTGATTAACAGGTTGGAACATCAGCGTCCTCCCAGACTGTTAAAAGTGTTGTCGTTCCAAGTAGGTAGTTCCAGTGTATAGAGACCTTCTAAAGCGATGTGCTTATACAAAGGGAACGAGTTCCACTGAATCAGTGATATCTAATTGGATTCAGCAAAGTCCGCTTTTGAGCCATCGACAAGATACGTAAGTGTCAAATATATATTGAGATAGTGATTGCTAAAGCGTACGTTTTTGGGTTTCAAATAATCGAAATCGGAAGATCTACAGCTTCAAGTCTGACGGATTCTCTCCCATTGTAACCCAACTGAAAGTACTGGGAAGCATACGCATGACAGTAATAAATGATCGAACGTAAACCTTAAATATATGCGCAATCATTTCAATGACTTTACATGTTTTCATTGACCATTGGTAGAACAGTTCTGTTGTATTTGCGCGTAGATATCGTAGCGCATCGTTGTTCGAAAAGCTGATCTGGCATCGCGCCGGCATACCGGACTTGTTTAGGAAGACTGCCGCTCGCCTTAGTCGGCCTAAAGCTCGATTCGCTCTTAATTATTATTAATGCTAATTAGTATATAGTAGTAATAGTATTGATCGGACTTGTATCGCTGTTCGACGAAACGACGGCTGATATTCTTTAATTTTACTCGATCACTAAACGCCCTTCGGGTCGACCCTGGGGACCGTTTGAACGGCCTCCACAAACAAAACAACACATATCAAGCAAACTGTCATTGAATTCGCCAGAGTCCTAGGATGACAACAGGAATAACATTTATTTTGCACAAGAAAAGGCACTGCGTAGACGCAAGCTCTACATCACTTGATAATAATCGCGTATGGTTCCACACATGAACGTATCAACGATCATTCCCTTTTTTAGAGAATGAAGAACTTTCATATTCAGCTAGCCAGTTACCCGGTGTTAGCATACATTGCACCTATGGGTTCAGTGTTATTTGAGACGTACAACTATTTTACTCGTAGACAAATCTTGATCTCGATGAAGACTGTCATGGTAATGTCCGGTGTGGTAGTGACCGTCATGGTGATGGCCGTTGTGGTGATGGTTGTTGTGGTGGTGGCCGTTGTGATGATTCGTATGTTGATCGTAGTCGTCTGGTGAAAGAAATTTCTGGTTCCTGTGCATCTCGCACTGGACGTTCTGTATAATATTGATCAATCCCCGAGCGACTTTTGACTTGTTCTTCATCATGAGTTGATCCAGCTGATTCAACTGCCGTTGGGTTTCCACGTCAATTTTCGCCTGTGTTCTAATTCGCCATTCCTTTAGGGATTCTTCGTACGCTTTGAACTTTCGTTCTTTTTCTTCACGATACTTCTCGGCTTCGTATTGCGCTTCTTGTTTGGCCTGCTTGATGCGTCGAGCCTTACGCCGTCGGGCTTCGGCAACTTTTTCGCTAGCGCGTCTTTCCGCTTCAAGCAACTGCTGAACGCCTCTCGATTGATTCTTTCGGTACTGTTGATACTGCAGATGTGGGTTCATCTGTGCAGTGGGATAGTTAATGTTTTGTTGACTATAGTTTATTTTTGGCGTAAGATTTGGCCAGCCGTCGTGGTTAGGTGACCTTTCGTGTCGTTCATGATGGCCGGTCGTCGGAGTCCCCAATTTCTCCTGGGGGCTATGTTGAGGCCGGGTGTGATGAATTCGTACCGATCTGTCGTGATGGTATTGTGCCTTGTCTTGATGACCCTGTTGCGGCGACTTCTCATGGTACCCTTGTGGATGGGCTGACTTATCATGATGACCATGTGGGCTTCTTTCTGGACCACGATGAGGTTTATCAAAATCATGACTCGTATGCGACTTGTCGTGACGAGGCTTGTGCGATCGTTCATGGTGCGCAGGGCTGTCGATCTTGTTACAGGTAGTACTATGTCTCAACTTATCCTGCTGGTCCGGCAGCCTTTCTGGATTGCGGTCTCAAAGAACAAAACAGGGGATACATGAATAAATAGAAGACAGAGAGAACAAAAAGTTATTAAATTAATATGTCTGTACGACTGGAGCTGAAGGCCCCAGCCGATAGCTTCCGTGTACAAGCATACGCATGACATTGCATCGAGAAGAAACGACAATTGCGTCTTACCACATGGTGTCTTGGTGAATAGTCCTAAACACTCTAATCATTAGTCCGTCCGCAAGGATGCATAGATTCATCAACCACTGTTTATTTGAATTGTGTCAGCCTTTATAGTTTGGCATTGGCCCAAACCCTTTTTACTCAGCATAAAGCATTATAGATGTGAAGTGGATATTTTGCTGTTTCGTGCCGAACTATTCAACAGGAAAAAACTGGAATTTACAAAATATATGGCACGCGCGAGTTATATCTAGACCATAAAATCTATAAGAACCATAGTTTTTAACGGCTCGCCTCCAGCAATTCAACGACGCTTCACGTATTAAGATGCGATACCCCTAGAGCGATTATGCAACGTAACTATGTAAGTTCCTGAAAATATGGCTTGCCTATGTAAATTTTTATGTGCAACGATAACATTATGACGGTTGCAACAGATCTAAATACAGTGGCTTTGATTTTAGTGCGATCTCTTAATGTAAAAAAAAAAAAATAGAAATACAAAAAAATGAAAAAATCGCTTTGAAGCTACAAGGACATGTTGTACGCCCCAAAATGGAGGTGATTTTTATCACCACTTGAATGATAGGGCCGCCTAAATCAAATTAACATTATTTCAATTTCAAGCTCATTTGACAGTTGCTTGCAGAAGCTAGCAGCTGATCGTATTATCAATATACGTTGAGTTAAACCACCAACAGTACTAGTTCCTCCATATTATAATAATGGGCACTCGGTTCTCATAAACCGAAACTGCAGAAAAAAAGATTTAAATAAATAATGAGATTAGTAGTCCTATGGGCAAAAAGTAGCGAAACGGGGGCAGACCCGTAGATCCTCGTTTGACTTACAGGGCATTTTTCCAAAAAGATATTATTCATTGAAAAATCGACGCTTTCGACACTAATCGGTTCCACTTCGTGAGGTGCTGAAGCGAATAGACGTGATCAGCACGTTGCTATACCTGTAAGGTATAAAATAGTTTCGTGAAGTTACAATTCTGTAGCACGATATTGAAATTCAGTCGCACCTCGGGCACATACCGTCAACATGTTTGTTCCTAGGATCGTTTCAAAACTTATTACCGTGAAACTGTATTTGATGCAATATTTTCTTCAATTAAAAACGCCTGCTGTACAAAGTGCGAATGTATAAGGCTTTTACTAAATAAAAGAAGGGACCCCGAATACGAATCAGTGACGCTTCGGCTATCTCAGACGTGTTAGACAGCCTCGTATCGGATCCCAGTGGTGTTTTAAATATATTGATACAAAGTCATCGTTACTGGGTTAATGCAATTCAGAAGATGACGATCCGAAGACTCCGGTGTGGACTATAGAGTTTATGATGAATAACATTGTTCGCAGTCCTTATGCTTTACGTTTGTCATGTTACAGGTGGCAAGGGGATAGATTCTGATGAGACTTCAAGACAAGGACACCTTGCAATTAACGTTACTTCGCAGCATATACTATAAAATAAAATCTTTCAACACCTTGATTTGAGTAGTATATATATATATTGCATTGATATTCGATGTATTTTTTGTGTGTATCCGCTTCCTCACTACCACGATGGCTCATTATAATTAATGAGTAAGTAAAAAATAGTAAGATTAACTCAAGAAGAGCTAACTGCCAAACTAAGTTAGCATTGGAAGCTCGTGTGTAAGGGGTAGCAGCGCGAGATAGCAACGTAATAACTTAATCTTCAATTATCGGTGCACTCGAATGATCCGTATGGTCTCACTCATCACATGCTATGCTATGTATAAACATAATCAAACCTATTGGTTAGTTGTCTAGTAGCAACGTTACCGGAAAGTGTCCGACGGATCGACAGCCGGTTACAGTATGTGGTGATAAAAAAACAACAAAACACGGCTAATTTTATGTCTTTGAAGCGGCCTTGAGGCCGTAGAGGAACAGTCGCTTCATGGCAGATCTGGAGGTTTTTTTTGCCCAAAACAAAAGGGTTTTATACACCCAAAAAATCGAGCGCGACCCTGCTTAAGCACATTACCCTATAGGTGGTTTGTTCAAAAAGCAAGTCAACGCAAAAATTATCTCTTCGGGATCTTCCGGAAACGTTCGTCTTAGAATGTTTTCTTTCAAAACACATTACTGGCTAAACAAATTATTACGTTTATTAGATTCAACTATAGAATCAACTGTTTTTTAGAACATTTTTTTTCTCATATTCAAATACGCTGTCAACTGGTAAGCATAACTGCTTTTTTACAGAACAAATTTATTTTTACAAAACAGCTAAAGTATTTATGCGTAATCCAAGAGCTCTGACGTGCGTTCTGGCCTCGAGTTGCTAAATCTGTTAGCCAGTTGCTTATCCTCTTGACCTGTCAATCGTTGTGTTATCTGATTAAATTTCAGGGATTCCCGATAATTTGCTCATTTCGTCCCGTCGAATTCGGCACTCACATTTGCATACGCACGGGCGTCGAGTGGAGCCGCGGGAGGTCAGGGCAAAACCCCTCGTCAACCCTAAGAAGGATGCAGCTGAAGATGGCCGCGAACATCGAACGAATAGGACCAGTAACGCACCAATGTACGGCGATGGCGGCAGCAGCAGTGACGCCAAAGACTACAGGACCGACGTCGCCACTAACAATAGAGGTGGCGGCGGCGGCGGCAGCAGGAGCAGCAGCAGAGCTCACGACGTGAACAGCAGCGATAGAGTGTATCAGCGCATCGATGAGGGTAGCGATAGTGAGCAGGTAATGTAGATCGGTCGGCCTAGAGTTTTGCATAGCTGCCTTTTATGTTATTCTACCATGTAGCTATGAAATCAACTGGGTAAATTACGAACTGGGACGCGCCGGACGTTGCTTCCAGACAGTAGTTGTATGACCTAACAGTCTTATTATGAGATGAATAAAGTCGCTTTTCGCTGGCTCAGGATTTAAAACTCAAACCCTTGATTTTCTATTATGAGAGATTGTTGTGTGACAGCGACCTCGTTACCAGTCGTCCAATAATAATCGTCGAGCAAACGCAGTATTGGCAAAAACAAAGGGAAAGCAGCCAAAACAATTCTACAAGACGATGAGAAGCCTAGATAGGAAAGGACTCGAAGGAGCTACTGAATAATGTCACGTAAATGTCCCAGGAGAAAGTAAGCACTAAACAACTAGTAAAGTTGTTTGTTCGATCGAACTTCACATGATACGTAGACGACCCCTCTTCACTCCGATGGCGTAGAAAGCTATGGATAAGGTTCAGAGTGTGAGGTATCAGGCAATATGTTAGCTACCTCGACCGCCAAAACGTTAAGAACAACAGTGGGGTTGCGTGCAGAGAACTGATGCTGGAAACAATGATGGTGGACGTCTGCGGTAGTCAGTTTCTATCTATCATAGTATCATTATAATTTGTGTCTTAACATGACGACATGATCTGTGCTAACTGGTTCCCTATTTACTCGGCGACTATAATACATCTCCTTAACGTAGTAGTAGCTGTTATTCATTTAAACTCACCGGCAGCCTCAAACCATATAATAAGCAGGCCCAGCGAAGTTCAACTTTGAAAGCTGCTTGTAAACTATATGTATCCAAAAAACTAGCTGTTGAAACACAGCGTAATAAGCTTAAGTTGCATACACGATAATGCTTCAGTGGCGTTCATTGTCTTTTACGCGTATTTTATGGTATGTAAGTTTACTTAGGATCAATGTAAACAGCAGGAAAATGTTGTTTGCCATATCGTGAGAACGTCGCCTTTAAAGTTAACTTTTTTAAAGTCTTCTTCGTCTAAAGACTGAAACCTTTCGGCGCCAACATAAGCATCAAAAGTATATCAAGTTGAGTAGCGGAGAACAGGTAGAATACATCATGTATTTCATCACACGCATAATGTAATGCATCAAAATGGCGTGATCTAAACCGGCGACGAATAAGCTACGGATAACGAATGTAATTTAACCTATTTCTCCTGTTGGACCATATGTCACTTATATGCATATCTATATCCTCAATGCTTTTGTTGACAATCACTCGATTATCAGAGGTTGCATGTTTTTCTATGCGCCATTGCTGATGATACTGATCCTTGTGCTAACGTGATGATGCAGGGACACACGCCGTATAGTGAACATCGCATCAATGGCGGTAAGACCATTTCGTTGTCGCTGAATCATCTCGATGAACCGTCGATGCAGTCGCAATTTACCGTAGCGGGGCCAAGTTTGTCAGCGGTGACCCCTCCGGCCCTCCACGAGCATGGAATGGCGGACGATCCCGCAGGCCATGGCGCTGACCATGGCAGCTTCAATCATACCATACTATTCGGAACACCGATCTCTCCCGTGGGCCATCAGGTACGTAAGGACTTCAATACCTTCTTGACTTAATTGTTAACTAGGTAGAGGGGTTAGGCTGGTTTCGAAATAGTACTCTACTCTATTACAAATAGCTCTAAGTAGTACTTATCTGCGTGGTGCTTCTGTGAATTTATTACGCTATGCCCTGAGCTGATGGTGAGGGTAAACCGACATCATGATTTGAACATGAATTTCGGTTTCGGGCCTACATTCATCGCATGGTAACGTGAAAGTAGACAGTACAAATTTTCTAACGTAGAGAATTATCAGCAAGGTGTCTGTCTAACTCCTAACTGAAGGTTAACACCTTTACCTTACCTTAGCAGATTTAGTCATCTGAAGTGCGTCCGTGTGAGTATGTGCGTGTGTGTACGAGGCTTCTACAGGGCCGCAAACAGGGCTTTTGAGGAATACAGGCCAGAAAAGTTTATACAAACACAAACATCCATACGAAATAGCCTTCGCAGGTTGATAAAATCGCGGCACTGGCTTACACAACCGTTTCAACATAAAATACGTTTTGTGTCTATGCGATGTAATAACAGCAGTTGATAGGATCGACATTTCTATACAGCTCCGGTAGAACTGTACCTGATTATCTACCAAGCAGGTGTTTGATCTCTACTCGGCGACCTATTATATGCCACGAAGATATTTACTAAATCGAATAAACTATATCAAGTTGCTTGTTGACCACACCTTTCATTGCAAGGCCATAACTGTTGTGGTTTTTGCTCTCTGGGATTCAGAAATGGCTATTTATTGATTAAACCTTTGATTAAATGACAATAAGTCTGCTATCAGCTACACCCGTTGTGGTAAGGAGTATACCGTACAGTGGCGAACTACACCTAACCACACGGCATTGAAGAATCATCTTCAAGGGCATTAATAGAACAAACTAACAGAACCTCCTGTGTTGATACGAAAGAAATAATTGATGAGTTGACAATTGTGTGGCGAGATGTATTAAAAGAAAACCTACTGGAGCAAGTCAACTTCGGCAGCAAACAATTTAGCCTTAGGCCAATTCGTATTAGGGAGTACCTAGTTAGACCTATTTCTAACAGAAGACGCACTTTTCTGTAAGACACAATTAAACGTCTGTGGGAACAATCAACAGCGAAAATTACTCCTTACCATGCACGTACGTAGATTAACAGAGTAGGTCACTCACCCTTGAAGTTTACATTCGAACAGACAAGTCTTCGCAGCTTATCTTGTTTCTTTACTGGTATAGCGGGCAATAGACTGCAGCAAAGTGTACGCCTCCTGCCGTAGGTAATAGCAAATCTATGGTTAATAGAAAACTATAAGCAAGACCGTATTCTGCAACGCTGAAACCGTTCCTTCGGCGACATTAAAAAAGCCTATTCAACTGTACTGGAGACGCGTCTGGCCGCCGATAGTCGGCCGATTAATTTGGTATCGCTTATCCCTTGACACACCAATCGAGTCTGTTGAGAATGGGCCACAGGTGATAGACAGGGACTTTGTCCTCATATAAAAACGCTTTACAAAAATGCTATTTGGTATACTCGCAGTTGTTTGGGAATCACTTAAATCACCGGGATTTAAGTGTGGAAAGCTTCGTTTTCTTTCTTTGCCAAACTAATGAATTGGGCGGGTGGAAGTAGAACGCTATTTGACATAGGTATGATTAAATAAAAGACTAAACCATTATCCGTTCAACGCTGCACAGTAACCATTGCTGTGGCCGAAATCTGTATCGTCACTAGGGAACCGCGAAACACGACAGCTTCCGCTAACCGGAACGGCAATCGTCAATAATAAAAATCGTTAAGTTAATTAGAGGAAAAAGCGTGGAACGTATGAACCTCAGAACATACGAGATAGTGATTGGAGGAACTGTATCGTACGGAGCAGATGCTCTGAGATTGCGCACCGAATTGAATAGATGATCAAATTTAGTATAGAAATTCTGTCCTTACCTATCAGTTCAGTCCCGCATCTGTATCGCATGTGTTCTGTACTTGAAACTAACAAAAGGTCAGAATTATTCGTTTAGAGTATTAATCACAGAGGATATTGTATATTATACACATTAAAGATTGGCGGAAACGTAGTTTTGGTGGACGTACACCGGCACATTACTAACACACACATGTTTACATCGAAAGGTGAGGGATCTATGTTGGGCAGCTTCAACCGACGGCTTGAACATATCAACGATCCGATACGTGTTACCTGAATAAAAATCTTATTCAAACATTATAAAATGACTTATGAGTGGGGCATGACGTTCATGAAATGACCGCCATCGACACACACACACAAGTCAAGTAAAGCTTTATTATAGTTTGACAAGTACGAGATGTTCGATGAACGCGTATAACAATACGCTGAGCCAAAGTGGGGTTCGATGTCCAATAACCTCATAAAACGATCAACTTCACAAGTTCTTTCAATTTAGTGCGTTTTACTACGTCTACACACGCACTCCAAATGGGAGCTCCTTTCGGCCTAAGGAGATAAAGACCTAAGGATGTGAGATTTTGCCACCAAAAAAAAAGCTGGCCGCCGGCCTCGACAGGTGTCCACATAGGCTTCTGTTAATTATCGCGTCGAAAGCAACGTGCATAATGCGAACACGCTTATATATTAGCTTTATTTTGAAATAAAACATAGAGCTTTACATGCGAGACTCTTCTCAATAACGGAGTGAGCTTCACGCCTTCATGTTGACTTTATCCGTTCAGGCGAATTACTCGTATTCGACCTGAACCAAAGTACCAGTCTTCGAATACCCAATGATGCGTCTGATCTTTTCAACTTTCTATGAAATCCTAGTCTGTGTAATGATAGTCATACGATCGATGATAATGCACTGAAAGGCGTGTCCACGATGCCTCTTAGACACGTGCCTCGTACGATTAAAAAGTTCTCACCGCAGATTGTCGCAGGAGCTGTTTCCGCAAAATCCCATATTGGCTTAAACTGTAACAAGATCATTTTGTATCGGTGCAGATATGATAGCTTCATCATTGACAGGAATAGTAACTTCTATTACTTTCGTAAAATACGTCGCATTGTCATAAATGTTATGTATTAGCAGTTGGAACTTTGAAGTCGAAAATAGAGCTACGTCACCGCCTTCACATCAAACCTTTACTGTTGAGAGTACAGATCGCCGTAAAAATTTCAGATTGCCGACAATTAAGCCTTATCTGCTTATGGTTCACGGATCACAATATACAAATGCGGATGGTTTTGAAAAACTCGCTAAAGTTTTTCAAAACGTATCCTAATAATGACTTTCTTGATTCTCACTAAAGAACGAATTGCCATTCCGCCTCTAGTGAAAGTGGCACGCGATCGAAATAAAAATTCATCTGGCCTATTCGGGGACGGACAAGCTTTGCCTAAACGCCAGGCTCTCTTATATACATCGTGGTATCTATTATTTCCATCTGTGAATCGATCTCTTACTATGTTCGCCTTCGAGGGACCCACACGGTCCGACACATATAGATAACCGTCTGATGGCTAGATAACTTCTAACTTTCTAATTAATATTTTATTCATTATTTGGACCTTTCCTCACTGCTCGATGGATACCATCCAAAATGTCGAATGGGACTTGATATCGATCACCGTGATTAGGTTGCCTGGTGTCACGACGAATCGACAGATCACGAGCACGCGGGTGGCGTATCCATTGCGTCGATTCGTTGGGAGTTCGTATCTGTTCCGTTCATGTTCACCGCCTTCGTTATTTTGGCCGGACTTACCAAAATCAGTAAGTGATATTATCTGACCATTGTTAGACTAGAGGAAACATGTGCATTTTTTAAGGTTCTCCGTCAATAGAGAAAGACGAGCTGCAGATAGTGTATATGCCGCCTTGCAAAACATTTTTAGGCCCTACTACAGATGCACATGTCGATTACTATGGTTTAGTTAACTTATACAGGAATTTCATTCGATTTACGAAGTGTTACAATGAGGAAATACTGTGCATGCTATGTTTTTTTTACTAAGTTACGTTAAATAATCGATTTTTATTGTTCGTGGTATAAAGGAGGATCACACACATATGCAGACCACCCTATATGTTATAAAATATATTGGATAACCGAATATTGCGAACGGTCTATATTTGACATATCATTTCATATAATCATACTATGTATTCAAAGTGTCCCACAAAACAGCTGCGAAAATTAACGCACAGCAGGCCTGTATTGAAATAAAGGGTTTAGTCCGCTTCATAAAAAAAAGACCTACATGTCTCAGTTGCCTTTAGTAGAATTTTAAGCTGCAATCTTCTGATCCGAAGGCGGACGCCTCATTCAATAGGCTCCAGAAACATACCTTCTTACTTCATACTTAGAAGACACCTTCTAAGATTAAGGATGGGAGTTAAAGATACATAGTTTAGAGAGTAAATTAGAACCTGGATGGCCTGCCTTTTAGAGAGTATCAGGAAAATATGCTGTTAATTTTACTGCGAAAACGATGTGTTCTATCTAAACATAACATTTTGATTGTTGTCGTGATGTGGCCATGTGACCTTTCTCAATTTTATTTCTTGATTGGACCAAGATTAATTTATAACCTGTCAACAGGAAATGGCTGTAATCTAGAGAGACCACGTACCTAACCGCTCCGCCGCAGTTAGAAGCATTCATACTCATACTGAACGACTACAGTGTAGTAAAACAAAGATGTCTGATAAGTCCACAACAACCACGAACGTTCGACGGAAAAAAGAATTGAAAAGTTCGTTAGGAGGGAATCTACCCGATTTGGTAAGAGCCAACCTACGTTGATGTACCGAAGCGTCGCGTGGAACAAATATCAGATCTTGTTTGTGCTAATCATAATTGGAATACCCATACACAAGAGGGTGACTCACACACGCAGAACAGCCTGCCAATTGAGGGAGCGACCGTTTAGGGGCGGGCCATGCCTTAAGTTCCACGAATTGGCAACATACACCGTCGGTCGACTTGGCACGTAATTCATTATTTATAGAACCAATTGTATTTGCAACTATAGAAGCCCGCTTGATGCTGCTTATTCAGAATACCACCGTAGTATCAGTAGCGTATGTATTGGCTGTCACATATCACTAAACAAATAAGTGAGACTATGACTATGCATTTGTGCGATGCTATGGAATCAATACGCGAACAGGGAACACCAGGTAAACCGAACATCGTTCGGAGAAATTGCGTCAGTTCGCAGTGCGACCGAGTAACGAGCCTGCGAAATAGGCCGCCAAGGTATCCGGCAGAGTCGAGGACGCTCCATGATAATTTGTGAAAACAATGCATCAGCCAGGTTTCTTTATGGATACATAGCATTTGATCCGGTAGCAGTGTAGCTCGTTCAGGAGTCGCTGGTTCGAGTCCGCCGATACGCATTACGTGTACAGGACTTGTGTGAACAATAGTTAAAGTTGTAATGTGCCGTACACTTAAATAAGGTACTGAATTTTACCAATTAGGATTACCATGCCCAGCCAGCTCGTCGACTGTAGAACGATAAACTGATCTATGTTCTTTTCTATCTCGCCGCTATATTAAAACCGATTTGACGGGGGCGGTAGATGTTCGTGGAAGGCCCTAATGGCATTCCTAAGGGCGGCATCGTGAATGTAAGCTTTGCTAAGTTACCGTGGCGTATACATGGTTAAATTTATCTACTAGAAATCTTTACCCCGACGAAGAGTATCGATAGACGACCGTTGACGCTTTCCTTTTGCTAAGATTTAACGTGCATTCAGTTATATCATTCTAAGCCTAAGTTGTACTATAACAATACTTATGTCACTTTATTCGAATCGGAACAAAGTTATGGATGACTCAATATAGCATATGACAGATAGAGCGGGTTCGTTGGTAAATGGTAACTTGAATACAAGTCGCAACTGATTTTTCTACTAGGAAAAGGAAACGGAGTTCCAAGTTATAGACAGTTGGTAATACAAGTCATGCCTTTGGGTTTGGTATGTCAAATCTAGGGTTTGCGTAAAAAAAGACCGAAGAGGAACAGCTCGTACTTATCTTAATCGTACTTAACTCATCGTAATTAGCCGCAAACTATCAAAAGGCGGTAGTTTCAGGGGGGCCAGAGAGATATAGCCTAATGGATTTCAGTAATAAATTCTCTTATGAATAATCCTGAATATTGCACGAGCAATATATATGAAAGCGCCAGGTCGCCCGGAGCTTAGCAGAACCGCTTTATTAATACTACTCTGAGATAGATCAGGACCCAGCGATGTTTAAGGGCTTTAACTATGTGGGCTATTTTAAATGACACTGTGCCATTTTCGTCGAAAAATTGAGAAAAGACTAAGCACCCTACAAATTTCAACTCGATGTTAATGAAAGCTTCCTTCTTTCGCGATATAGGGCCACATAGTATATATTGATCTCGATAGGTATACTTGTACCATCTACAAATGCTCGAGAATGTAATAATCGTTTGTAGACTATGGTAATATGGCTAAATAGGAACTAGGCCTGGAACGGTTTCCGATGAGGACGCTTTGTGAGGGAGGTGCGGAGATTCTGTAAAAAGACAGATGTTCTTATCTGAGCGCTTAATTGCTGGCTTTAATGAGAAGTTTAAATCTAAAAACCCAAATTTGGTCAAAACACTACTTCTTGACAACGTATTCCTAGGCCAACTAGTGGTTAAAAATCATGACAACCTAGACAGCATGTGGCTGTTCGGATGCCTTCGTCTACACTAAAAGGATCTAAATCAGGTCTTAGGTAAAACTAAAAAACAGCCTCTTAAAAAGAGTCTTATCACGTTTTAAATAGGAAGAGTTTTATTGATGTCGGTACGTCATTAACGGCGTCCTCATCGCTGCCAACCGCATCTGCGCCACTTAATAAGGATATTTAAGAGAATAAGTGTTGTTTAAACGTTCAGATTAAACCAAAGACAAGCGTTCCCTATACATGAAACGGAGCTTAACGGCAAAAACGCAGTAGAATACGATTCACCACTTAGAGAGTGCCAGCCAATTGTTCAGCTTGTTGCGTTGCAAAGATGAACTACTTGCGTCTGACTGTTTGTGATATACACGTCTGCCCTTGAAGTCTTCATTTGACGAAGGCTGCGTCAAATCTTATTGGAGGAAGAAAGGCTCTAATCTCGAAAGGTCACACAGTAGTTATCTGTCCATCGATAGCTGCAAGAACATGCTTCCATAAATTGGTCCATAAATCCATGGTACATTCAGGGATATCAGCGTTCGTGGCCCACAAACTCGCCGAGTGTGCAAAAGGAGATAGCAAACCTAGTATCTTAGCTGGGTTTGTCTTCGATGGCGTGAATAAGCCCACACTGATGTATCGAAATGAAGCTTGCAACCAGTTTCGATAGCCCTTTGAAACAGCCCTTTGAAACTTTGTAACGTAGTAACCCTTACATGTATGTGTTGTATGTATATATGTATGATGTGGTTGCTAACCTTATGGTGGCGAAAAACGTAAGTCTACTACGACGGGTCAGCACCACCGAACGGCCAATGTTCGTGATGTACTATCGACTATGTTTAATCATTTCTAAACAACATTTGACAAAATACACGGTAACCAGAAATTTTCGTGTTACAATGATCTGTAATTTCTCTTTTTGTGCTAAGTCGGGTGCTCTTCGTTGATGGGCCGCTTCCGTAGGATTTATAATGCCTTATACCAGAGCGGAGGAATTGTTGAAGCAATTTCCTGATGAGTTGAAGTAATGGAGGTGTATACAATGAGATCAACAGCGGGCACAGACGTGGTCCAACGACGAAGCAATCGAAGCATTACCTGGGGGTCGAATACTATCGCTCGTGATATCCTGACGCTCCTGAGTGCATCTCTAGCTTGGCTATTAATGAAAGAAATGCTAAGAGCAAAAACTTATTCAATGAAAAAACATGCCTTTTGTAATCGGACTGTTTTGAGCACTTCTTGTGAAGATCATTAGTCTCGACACTCTAAAGTCTGGACCTGTGTGCCTTGGGGGCAAAAAAATAAATATTGATGTATCGTTATTCAAAGGAATGAAACCGACATTTCGGAAATTAAAACGGAGGGATCCGACTTAATACGATAAATTACATAAAATGCCATGTGTGGTTCACTTTCGTAAAACTCTAAACGTCGGTATTGCGCACAACGTACGAGTAATGTACAGGTTGGATCGAGTCAAATTGTGGCCCATTAAGCAACTACATACAAGTGAGGCTAAACTTAATTTGCATATATATATATATATATATATATATACATATATATAAAGGAATGAACTTACCATATATCGAAAGTTAAGGAATTAGCTTTCGATATATGGTAAGTTAATCTAATCGAAATTTTATCAGGCATCTCTTACACAATAAGTTGTATATCATCCAGTAGTAATTCAGTAGTAATATAATAACTTGTTGAACTTAGACACGCAAAGTAATGCCTAACCGTACCCTTAAGTACCGAATGAGTAAAATTCTTCGATAAGAATATTTTTATATTTCGACCCTTAGATGTGCTTTGCGTGTAGTTGGATCAGTTGAACTTTCTTTTTTTAGATGTTAAATAAGTTTAATAAGTGATAAATACGCTTTCATTAGAGTAAACATGATACTAGCATTCGTACTCAATGAATGATACGGTCTTTTAGTAACGTAGAGCATCGGATTTGAACAGCAGAGTTACACCGAGTCAAAAATGTAACTTCGCTGTTAGGAAGTAGTTTAAAAATGTTTACGTAACTGTTAACATTGAAACATCA